CCCTCTGCTTGAGGTTAAAAGGAAATTGAATTCAACATTTTTATTCAGATTGGGTCTTGTAAAAGTCTCTTTTAGCAGAACCTAAATTTGGGCCTTTGACATTTTGACAGAATCTGTTTTCAGATTGAAAAGTTCCTTTCACAATAAGAATTTTGGTTGTTTTCTGTTTAACTCCAAAAGCCTTCACTGATCATCTTTCAAGCATTAGCACAATTACTTACAGATGGACCTTTTGTATTTAAAAAAAAAAAAAAAATCCCCCTTCTCTAACCTAGCATTACTGCTGTTTTCATAAGATCAGGGGCTTCTAATTTTGGTAATTTAACCTGAGTGCAGAGCTACTGATATTTTATTAGTTCAGAAAAACAAGCAAACAAAATTATCAAAGACTTGTAATACTGTTCAGTTCTTGTCCACTAAATATGCATACTTGAACGTCCTGGTACAATAAATGTTTTGGATATGGTTTCGCTTCTGGCTTTTTGGTTTTTTTTGCTTGTCAGCGATTTTTGGCTTTGGAATTACAGAGACCAGTGTCAGGTCACCTTAATTACACTTGAATTGCACCACACCACTGACCTGCACACTCAAAAAGTCAGATTCGGTGAATTTAGTTGTGAAGGTTTTAAAAATAAAGATAAGTGATAGTCTGCCACTGAAAAGGATGTTTTGGTAGAGAGTCAGCTCTGGTAACTGAGGAACTGTAGCTATACATGCACCATTATAAATTTAAGTTTAGTATTAATGTAAAATTAGCTTTTTTTTAAAGAAACTTCATATTTAGGGTATATTTCTCTGGGTAATATTTCTTTTATGTAATTTAATGTTGCCTTTGCTGTAGCACCTCAAATGTCCAACGTCAGCATTGCAGCCCTCTTCTGGCTGGTCACTGCAGGAACAACCAGTAAGCCAGAGGCTCCAATATTTCAAAGGCAGAATTCATTGCCATTTGTGTACACAGTCCCTAAATACATTACATCCACAAAAGCACCATTTCACCAGCAAAAGTATGTCTTTTCTGCATCAAAAATGTTGTAAATACCTTTCAAGCATTAGTTCCATTGCAATAAATATTTTCAGTATGTAGGCAGTCTTTGTTTCCCAAATGCTCTTGTTACTGTTGAGGTTTATCTGACTGTCTCTAAAAGGAGCCTCCTCCTCCCTCAGTAGGACTTTTAATATAGTGCACTTAATATTTTAGGGACTCGGGTGTATTTTGCAGGACAACCGGAGGCGATATCAAAGGGTTTAGCCTGGATTACTGTTTGGGCTGCAGAAAACTCTGACAAAGCCCTAAACTTTACAAAGTGGAGTGGTCTGAACCTTGGTCCACCAGACTGCAGGAGTCTGATGGGCTGAGAAAGAATAAAGGCAAAACATGAACTGTGTTTCCCCAAAGCACAGCTTGGATAAGAGCCCCTTCAGAGCATGTGGCTGGTGCTTAAGGTACCACACAGTCCTGGGGCGGTGGGGAGCTGGGTACCTACTGAGAGCTCTCACCCCCTCTTGTGCCTTTGCTGTGTCCTTGCGTTGACTGAATGCCACAGGAGCACACCCCTTTTCCTGCACTCATTTATGGTGCCAGGTGCACTGCTGATCATCAAAAACAGGGCACGTGAGCACATGTCATTTGAGGAGGGCCCTGTTCAGTCCTCGTGTACGTGTGGCCCAAATCTTGCTGTGTACCTGGTGCGGCTGGCTAGTTCTACCTGCTGCCATAAAAGCCTGGCCCTGTCCATGACTGCCAGCACCAGCATACTCCCGCTCCCCGTGTGACCTGGTGGCTGGAGGAGGAGAGGATCTGCCACCTCATTGTCCTGGGTGGGTTAAATGCCAGCACCCGGGGTGTCTGTGTGCTGCGCCCTGGGAGGAACCCATCATCATCCTCAGGTCCTCAACTCCTTCCCATGAACAAGGAAAGATCTTCCCAGTTAGTGGGGAGTAACTTGATACGACCTGAACTTTTATTCTTTGTTTCGGATTGTTTTTCTTGTGATATTTGTTACTTCTCTTTCCACGAAGACTTGTTTCCTTTGCAGCCTTTCCTGTCCTCAGCCTGAGGTCTGGAGCCCAGTTAAAAGCTCGTTTTGCTCCAGAATTGCCTCTGAGCTGGGGCTGAGGAGTCAGTGTGAGCCAGGAACAGCTGCTGAGGGTATGTAGGGTTGCCTTTTGTTCCTCTAAACTTTTGTTTTCCTGATCATAAATCTCTCCAATAAACTGCCCCGAGTGACATAAACCTCTCAAGCGGCTGGGCCAGGCATGGTGTGCTCAGCAGCCACAGCCCAGACTGACTCAGCTGCGTGCAAACCACCGCGAGAGCTGAGCCATGCCCCAGCATCATTGGATGTGTCCCGGCCCGGGTACCCCCTCACCCACAGCGGGCTCTCTGCGAAGGGCAGCCGGCTTCAATGGCACTTCAGTGCTTTTAAATTTCTGAGAAAACTGTGGGTCCTTCCCATTTGGTGGTGTCTCAGGAAGGTGAGACAGATAAATCCCACTTATGGCATGGCAAACTCCAGCCAGCCCCTGGTCCCAAGCTCTCCTGTCCTGCCTCCCACAGGTAATGTCCCACCTGAAGTCCTTTGTACCATGACCTTGGTGCCCTTCTGGATCTAATCGATCTCTCCTTAGTACCCGGACTTCACTGTCAGACCAGCTATTTAAATTGTAAAACACTCAGCAAAGGTAGACAGAATTAAATTTATTCCTGAATTGTTGAATAATGTAATATTCGTGTTGTACATAAAAGAATCACAAACCACCCAGCCTGATTTTCCTATGAAAACATTTAACTTTTATTAAATCAAGACAGTTTTAAGGAGCAGCAAAAAATGAAAGCAAAAACAACTGAACCAGCTTTCAAAGTTGCCCTGTAGCCAAAACATCCATCTGAGAAGCTGAAGGGTTGATTTTATTTGTTTGTTTGTTCTTCTGTTGGAGTGTATCACCAATAATTAAAAAAAAAAAAAAAAAGAGAGATACAAGTTCAAACTCTTGGAATAAATTAGAGCAGTCTCTTAAGCCTACTGAGAGCTGCCTACAGCTGGTTTGGCAGCTTCCATCAATACGGTAACGCTGCAGCCTGGGTAGGCACTTGATCCTGCTGAGCCCTGATCCTGCCCAGCCGGCTGGACCCGGGGCTCCAGGACAGAGGGGATGTGGCTCCCTGTGGACCACGGTCCCAGCCCCGCAGCCTTACGGGGTGGCGTGGGCCAGCAGTTGTGTGCAAAGGCATGAGGTGAAAACACGCTCCAGTGGCGCGTGTACTGCTGCTTCGTGGAGTCACTCAAATATCTGGGGCCAGCGTTTGTGTGCCTTGCAGGTGAGACTCCCTTCAGGCCAGGATTTGGCCCTGTACCTATGAAACATGCCTAAACCATTAACTATTCTTCCGAGGAAAGTGGCAGAGGACCCTGCGTGCTGGAGTTAAGTCAGAAAGGCTAGACAAAGCCCTGGGGAGCGGTCTGCGGGGAACAAACCTGTATTGGCAGACAGCAAGATAAATTGGATGATCTAATAGTCCTTTTCCATCTCTAAGTTTTATGATTCATTTGTTATTTTAGTCATCTATATATATTTTTTATTTTACCCTAGAGGGGTTCCTTGAAATGTGTGCAATATATTCCTTTAAAAAAAAAAATCACTTAAAAAAAAAAGAAAAAAGTCACTGTTGCAGGATCCAAGGCACTGTCTCATAAGTGTATTCGCTAACGAACTACCCAGCATGTCAGAGTTGAAGGGTGGCTCCTGCAGGTCGGCTGTGGGTGCATGTGCTGTGGAATGGTCACACCAAGGAGCAGGTGGTGGGGCGAGGAGGGTGCAGGGCCTGTCACAGTCTTTGGCTCTGCACAGTGGGGATGGGTGGCTGACGAAGGGATGGGTGATGCCCTGGTGGCCCCTGTCCTCCATGCCAGGCTGGAAAGACCCCGAGGGGAGCTTGGGGAAGGCTGGACATTTGGAGGAAATCGGAGGAGAAGGGCGATGGCAGGGTGGGGGGACACATCCAGCACTTTCCTCCCCTCTGCTCTCGCTGCCACAAGCGTGGGGACCACTGCCCTCTCCTTCCACGACCAGAGGGCACGTGGGTGAGACAGAAGGGCTGGCAGCGGCGTGGCGAGGCAGCTCTGCCCACGGGGCCACGGCTGACGGCGGCCCTGCAGCGCCTGGGCTGAGTTGCTCATCGGACGTGTCGTCATGGCAAGGAGGAGCAGCAGCAATTAAATATGGCTAACAGGTGATACTGTACCCATCAAAATTTAATGAGTACAAGTCTCAGGAATCTCTGCCACGGAGAGCTTTGGCTCATCGGCAGTAAATAACCCCTCACGGCCGGGGCGGCAGCGGCGTGTGCTGCTTCACGCGGGTGTGTGACACATCACCCCGCTCCGGGGGACGTTATGGGGGACAAGGGAGTGCTTAGGGAAACTAAGTGTTAAACAGAGCCATCCGTCTGAGGGGGAGCACTTGAGAGAAGGGTGTTTGGTATCTCAATCATGCCTGGTTTATGGCTAGCGAGCCTTGAATTTGTGTGACAGCAGCCCAATGCCTCGCTGTAGATTACACCATAAATAACCCAGGCATGGAGTGGTCAGAGGAGCCAGATGAGGGAAAGAAAAAGATCTGTAGAAACAAATGTAGGGTGCTGTAGTTGGATTTTTTTTTTCTTTTTCCTATTTTAAGTGATTATTATTTAAGGGAAAGGAGGCTGCTAGAAATTGTTTGTGAGTTTTACTGAAACAGGCACATTCCTGTGGTTTTCTACTCCCACAGCCTCTCCAGGTCAGTCTTTTTCTTTCTCTGCAGAGAAAGAAAGGGGAAAAAAAGAAAGAAAGAAAAGAAAAACCCACACAAAAATCAATCCATCAAATGTCATTACAGATTTATTAAGCCTGATGTAGAAAGACTTTTAACAGTAACATCTTCAGAAAGCATAAAAAGAGCACTTCTGTTCAGTCTTGTGCTTTGAAAATCTAAATATATTTTTATCATATAAATAATTCTTTTCATGTTTTAAGTGCATCTGTTTTTTTTTTTTCCTTTTCAAATTTCCATTTTACAATTGGCCAAAACTGAAGTCTGCATTGACTGAAATGAAGCCATTTGCAAAGCTAATGATGTTGTGAAGCATGTCTATGGTGAACCATATCAGCTAGATTTCAGAAAGGTAGTTCAATGAGTGCAGCATTAAAATGAGGGACAGCCTCCAGCAAAATCATAATTGAACACACCCAAGTCCTTAATGTCTGCAGTTGGGTTTCCTGATGCAAATTACGATAACATTTCAGATGTGAGCAGTCGCTTTCCAATAGCTGCAGTGGAAAAGAGACATTTTATGCCACAAAGGAAAGAATTACCATGTTTAAAAATGTAAATAATATATGTATAGAAACCTTTTTTATGGAAATGAGGCATTCAGGATTATGTGAACAGTTTGGGCTATTTTTTTTCCTTTTAAACACAACAGATAAAGATGTGTGATCTATTATTCAGGGCTTTAATTACAGTTCTAAAACTGCAATGATTTTATTAAAAAAAAAAACCAACCCTGGGCATAAAAAGTAACGTTTTCTATGTTAAAGTTGAGGGATTTTTTTTTTTCTTTTACAATGTATTTACCATGGTAAAATACAGAACAAAAAAAAAAAAAAAAATCACCGTTAGATTTGAATGCTGCAAAATCATACACAGAAATACATCTTAAATGCACTGGAATACAGTCATCTTCCTGTAAATCAGAAAAGGCCTTAGATAAATAGGTTTGACCTGATTTAAATTTAATGAGATACATAGTCCTGATTGTTAATAATTGGTTTGGGGGAACCCAAAACAATAAAAGCAGTAATCTCCTCTAGTATAAATTATACGAATTTATTTAGCAATCAACCGAAGGGAAAAAAAAATCCTATTAACATTATCAATTTGTTTAGTTTAAGTTAGTTATAACAAGCAAATAATTTGAAGCAAAACTGCCAGCGAGGCTTTGAGAAAGGCGGCGAACGCCGGGACGCTGTGTGTCTGCGCTGGAGCTGCAGGGCCACTAGGTGGTATGGTCCCCCCAGCAGAAAGGGGTTTGCCACTGCAAGGCCCATTCATAATCATCAAAACCAAGTGAAACATGGTTTTGATTAAAACAGCCTGTTGGCTCAATAATCTTAGTAATTTTAAAAACATCCTTAATGTGGAAGAAGAACACTGCAATGTCAGAAATGGCTTTGGGGCCCATTATAAACAGCAACAAAATAAATAAGGAGGAGAAATGAGAGGTCATGAAAACAAAATTAAGCTAATGTTTCAAATTTTGACAATTATGAATTGTTCCTCCAAGAAGACATTAAAAAAAAAATTCAGGCACTATTAGATAAAATACAAAGAGAATAATTGTACATGTATGAGTTTTCCCATGGGACTAAGCATGCTTTAAAAGCAAAACTTGACTTAGATTTCCCCTCTTCCCCCCGCCCCCCTTTATAGCCAGCAATTGGGCAGGTCTCATGCAAACACAGACTTGCTTCTCAGAGTTCCTCCAAAAACTCATCTCTAATTCCTTTATGAGCCATTAAAAGATGATGACCAAGAAAACAAACAAACAAAAATTACAAGCATATTTTCTATACAAAAAAAAAAAAATCCCCCATCATGGACCAATTTTTGTAGGAAACCGAAACAAGCAAATATAACAAAATCTGTGTTCATAACATGGCAATATAGTTAATATATACAAATATGTACAGTATAAAAATGCATCAAAGGCGCAACTTTTCATCCAAACAAGCTGCAGTGCACAATGAAAAGCAGCTTGGCCCCCCCTCCACTCTAAGTATACAGGCAATATATTCTATACAGCATGCACTTGTTACAAAATTAGTGCATAAGCACTGAAACATTCTACAGATAAAGTCACCGTGAGTCCTCTCGGAAAGGAGTCCCATTTACGTTGTTAATATAAAAAAATGTGTTTAATCTTTCCATTTTGCGATTTGTAGTATATACATTTTTTTTTAAGAGAAATGAGCTTTTGATTTATTTTTTTTTTTTTATTTTTAAACTTTTTTTTAAACAAAATTCTAGACCTAACACCACGGGTCACAGATGTAACCTGAAGATGCTGCCAATAACAAACTTACTACATACCACAAGTGCTGTGGGTGGGCAGAGCAAACCCATCAAATTTACTATTATGGTCAACTATGCTCTATTATTTAAAATGGGGGTGGATCTCTCATAATTCATGCTGACATATTCAAGATAATAAAATCCAAAACTAATGTACAGAAAAAAAAAAAACCAACAAAGGATTAATAAGTGGTGCCTGAGCACTAGACAAAAGGGCATATTGTACCAGAGACATATGACAGTGAAGTACCCTGAGCCAAATAAGGACTGTTTAGCTTGTCAGCTTTTGCAACCTGTATTGCACATTCCAGCATTTGCTGCATTATAAAGCCAAAATACTGCATTGTATGTCCTGAAGATATCTGCTGCTTCGCTTGGTGCCAACAGTGCCCAGCTGTTACTTCAACCACAGACTCGTTGCCTGTTTATAAATAGATACACACACACATATACCGTGTGCTAGTGTATGCACCAATACATGAATGTATACTGGGGGTAGATATCTGTATATAGCTGCATATCTACCCAGATATATACAGATATGTATGTTTTTAATGTTACATGGACCGGTTAGTAAGTGAAAACATTGCCCATATAAATCTTCCACATTTGAGACAATTGCATGGATGTTAAAGTACTGTGAATACATCCTCACCTGGGGCTGATGCCCATGTGGGGATGTGGTTTTCAAGGGAAAGCATTCCTTGCATTTAATGTAGCTGTATTTTTGCAAGATGTTATTTTCATTTTCTTTTAAAAATATTGATCTTTCTTTCCTGCTAGCTCATCTAAGAGATCTAATGAAAGAATTTGTTGCCTTTACTTAGATCAAAAAAAGAAAAAAAAAAAAAGTTTGCTCAGCTAGATGGTATGAACTCAAGCGGAGATGTACGATCTGCCAGGATTAGTATTTAATCTGTTGTCTCAAACAGGGCTTCTTACAAAGGCCTGAAGACATTTCATGAGCTGAGAGTGATGATGAACTGGAAGTTTATTACTCTGTAGTTAAGTCCAGTGGTACAGCTATTTCACTTTTAAAAATACTCTCAAAGAAAATATTGTACAGACACTTTGGTACAAGAAACAACAGTGTCATCTTAAACTTTATCTACTCTTCACATTTTTGCTGGCATAGTTAAAAAAAAATGACCACTAGTGTAGACTGAAGTGTACTGGGGTAAAAGTGCTTGCACTGGTATAAAAGTGGTCCAGCAAAGCAAAATAAGCTGTACCATTATAAAGTGCTTTATAGCGATACAACTGTTTTTACATTAGGACTTTTACCAGCATAGTCACATCAATAACAAAGTTTTGCAATCACTTCCCTGACATAACTATAAAACTTCTGAAGTGCAGACTGTGCCTTAGATTTAATCTGCACGAAGCTAGAGACTGTCTGCTGAAGTTGTTTTCAAAACCATCTAAACATGTTAGGAATCCAAGGTTAGGACCATGAGGACAGTGTTTGAAGCTGTGTAGACAGAGGGTAAATACACTGAATTCAAAGGAGTAGCTCTGGATTTACACCAGAATAAATTAATTCAGAATCTGGCTTCTGTTTTTTAGAAGTTGGTATAAATAAAGCTGAAGACTGAAATGAAACCAGAGGGAGGCAGTTGCAGGGACGATCGGGAATGTGCTGGCGGGATGCGGCGCAGCGCGGGGGACGCACACCCTCTCCCCGGGCTTTTACGCTTGGCATGTGTTCATTTGCAAAGGTATGTGGGCTTCTGTTATCACTGTATACTCACTCTTTTTACTTTTTGCCTTCTTTCACTTTCCTTCAGGAGATGATTGGAGAACAAAAATCCTGAATTCTGCATGCATGCGTGAAGTCAACCAATGCAGGAAATAATTAAGAAAAGAAGAAAAAAAGAAAATCCAAGAAACGTTTCTCTCTGGAATCACTACCTAGTGCCTCATCCAGGGCCATCAACAGAAAGACTTATCTCAACTTCAGGTGCTGACAAGTCAGGACCTCAGTTTGATGAAATGTGAATTGAAATCTGCCTTTAGAGGCATGTCATTTACTCTTTAGTTACAAGTCTCAAAACGGTACATTTGCTGTGGCCCAATCTGTCACGTATAAAAAAGGCTCAGTTTACACCTACCAATGTCCAGATCAAACTCTTCAGCACCATTACTGAAAAGTTCTTAGTTTTAATGAAATTCAGTAACCTCTTGCTGATTGTTTTCAACCAAGGACAGAGGTTTGGCAAAAAGGAAAGTTGCAATCTGTGGGATAAGTTGTGACGGGGGGGGGAGCAGGAAAACCAGGCCAGCAAGACCACAGTGTTGTTAACCCTGTTGTGACTTTGAAACCCAAGGAGAAGCTGCTCTGAGCTCTTGGGTGGCCAGTAAACAGGAATTACAACTCTATGTAGCTCCTAAACAAAGCTTCTTGGGAGTAAAAATAATATGTCAGGTTGCACTGTAAGAAGATGGGGACGTACCAGTAGCAGTTTTTCAGAATATATAGAGGTGGTTATATCAGGGCTCTTGCTTGGGGACAGATGGCCTTTAAAGCCTGCTGTAATTGCAACATATTGATCTGGAATCTGTGATCAATACTGTCTTTATAGAGAGAATTTTAAATATAAATTGCATCGTATATCTGTTTGTGAAGACAAAAGTCCTGTGTGACGGAGATCCACCTCCACTTAGCTGAGGCACTTTCTCCAGCCTGAGAGTTACGAGGCAAGCGAAGAGGGGATGGGGATGGTGGCCTCAGCCCAGCCTGGCCCCGGGTGCCAAGAAGAGTCATTTCTTCACTGGGAGGAAGTCTCTGCCAAAAATTGGGTTGCCATCTTTCATTCCCTTGTGTTTTCTCAACAGGTTGGATTGCAAAATAACATTCCCAGCAAGATCAAAGCGAGGGCTGACCTGAACTGCTGTGCTGGAGCCAGAGCAGCTCCTTCACGGCAGGATCAGGACATTAGCAATTAGCAGGGGCAATGCTGTAGAAAGCAAATGTCCCCTAGGCAGCTCTCACCCACAGGCTGCCCCAGGCCCAAACTCTGTTACTTCTGTATTTTCCCGAACACCAAGGTCAGCCGGCTTTCTGTGCAAAGCCTGCACGGACACTGCCCCGTGGGAATACCCTCTTCTATGTTAGAAACTGAACTGAGTATAATTTAGTCAATAAATATGGCACTTCATCAAAACATGATTAAGGAAAGTAAAAAGACCAAAAATTAGGGAAACAATCCTTACCATCTGAATATGTGAGAGTTGTCTCAACAGCCAGTAAAATTGGCTTGGAAGGCTTCAACCCCTATTGTGTTAATATATAATTATTGATTTTTAAAATGACTTCTTATATCCTCCATGATCTCTAAAAAAGCTAGGGAGGTCAGTCTTGTAAATACTTTTACAAGTAGGTAATAAAACCCATGATAAGTTGCATTGACAAGTAATTACTGGGCAGGTTTGTTAGCAGATTCTCAAAGATTTTTTTAAAACCAACAATTATTATTGTACTAATGACAGCCATTTTTAAAGTTAAGTGTCCTTTTCCCTCTCAGCTTAAGTAATAACAGCCTGGAAAAAACACCTGAGACTGATCTACTGAAATTTTTATATATTAGGCTCCAAATAGATGCTAATTACATCTCCCTCTTTTAAAACAGAACATTTTTTTTAAGGTGATATGGCTTATTTTGACATGGATGGTGGCAGGAAAGGAGCTATGGTTTCTAAATAAATCTCTCAAAGCAGTGTGTAAGGGTAACAATTCTTACTGCTTTATTGCAGTACAAGAGCATAAACAGCTTGGCTATGTGGTGTATCAATATGCCACTTGTTAATAAGCAAGGACGTGAATCATAAATATTCGGCTGTTTGATCACCAGGCTTTTAATTAATGTTTTGATGATCTCCAATAAGAATAAAAGTCAGAACGATAGATATTGAGTAGATGCGACAGAGAAAAGATGCAATGATTTTCTGTGTTACCTGATTTATATGACAGATAAACTATCAACTCATCCAGTTTTGTACAGAGAAAGAGAGAGGAGAGAGGTACATTTGCTTTTTTTATATCATATTGTAAAAAAAAAAACCCAAACCACTTAATTCAAATGTGTACCTAAAATGTTCCCAGAGGACAGCAATGCAGGCAAAATAATCAAGGTTTAGCACTGTGTAATAAAGGTTTGTGGCCAGATTTTAAATGAAGTAGCTGTTCCTGCATTTGCCTGTGCCGGAGTGAAACCTCCTGAGCAAAAAACGCCGCTGGGCTGGAGACCTCCCTCGGGGAGACCGGCCCTCCCCAAAACCTTGAGGGAGGTTTTCAGCTCTGGGGTCGCAGGTGCCAGTGCAGCTGGGGCCAGGGCAGCCGATGGTACGACTGTGTTTACTATCATCACCACGATCTCGCTGCTCACCGGCTACAGGTCACCAGGAAAGCCTCTTCTCTGCCAAAACTGAGCAGGTGGTGCCCTGCGGAGCCCCAGCCCTGGATGCTGCGGGCTGACCGGGGCCGTAGGGCCACCCTCCCGTGGGAAGAGGATCCTTGCTCATGGCAGCAGCCGTGACAGCGTCTGCACTGCTCAGGCACTGCCGCAAGCAGCCAAACACACTGCACGGAGGGTTCCACCAAAGCAGACGGCAAAACGTGACAGTGGGTGCAGAATCGGGGTTGTCTGAAGTCGGTGGGAACTTCACCTGTTGGATGCTGCAATAAGCCAAATACTTTTTTCTAGAGCATCCAAAAGCTTGAGGAAATGAACGGGACTGGAGACACACATGCCGTTTCTCCCAGGTGGCATTTTGCCGTGGCACTCGCTGCCTTTGGGTCTGTGCCGCAGCACCCACCTCGTGCAACTTCACTTAATAACTCTGAACGGGCTGCACAATTTAACAGCTTCTGAGGAGCTCGATGCTAATGCATTGATTTTGCTTTAATAGAATTTTGTTGTCAATGGCCGGTGCTCAGCACGGTGCAGGCTTCAATCTTAACCCATCTGAAGGCTCTGCTCGTTTCCAGTTGAGCTCCGTTCATTTCCAGTTGAATAGGTTAAGCAAAGACAGACCTCACTGTTCTCAATTCACTTTATGATCCTCCCATCATAAAAAATAATATCAGCACCTTGCTTTTCATGTCAGAACTACATTTGAGCTGCTATTCCCTATGCCCATGAGTAAATCCCATAAAAGCCGCCCCGTTGTACTGTCGCTATTTTTCCTTGTGGATGATTGATTGATGGATGAGTGCTGACACTTCAATGAAGCTATTTCGACTGCCATCTCAATCCGATGATGTGAGGGGTATATTTTCTGTCCATGCCTCATTACTTCAGAATGACATTCCTGGAACTTCATTTACTTTTTCCCTCCTTCCCTCAAGCGCCATATTTTTTCCCATCTAGGTTATGCATGCCATAAAAAAAGCAATTTGCTATTATATGTGGCATAAGGGCAACACTTTCCCTAGGAGGTAAATAAGAAGGGCCTTTTTTTCTCCTCCATGTTGAGTTTAGGGATCATGTTAAAATTTCCCAAACAGTGCCAAAACAGGCCCTTCTGCACAAGCCACAGGGAATGCAGTAAACATATTTAGTCTGATTTTGTGAATGCTGCACTTCAGTTATGTCCTGGAATGTCTAAACCAAAATAATAATAAAAGACACCCCAAAGCCCTCTCTTATTTAAGAAAGATCCTCTTCTCAACTTGTGCCTAGTATATTCTGAATATTTCATTTGCAATGGAGTAGCAATTTACAACTTGATCCAGACTTATTTTTCCTTTGAGAATCAGGGAAGTTCATCATTAAATGCAGAGATGGATTTGTCTACTGGAGGTTGGTTTTGCTGTGAGGAAATGCTCAGCGAGAGTAAACAGGACTGTGCCTGATTTTCCAAGCAGTGCACTAGGTAACGTGAGACTTGTGACATTAGCATATCCTGGAAGATTTTGTGAGTTGACTCGGGACCCGATTTTAATCTGTGTAATACAGTATTCCCGTTAATAATAATGTATAATTAAGACATCCGTTAAAAATCCATAACGTTAATTTAATGGAGAAAATCTAATACAGTTCTATTGGAATTTTTACGTTAAATTAACTTTAACGGGCTTTTAATGGATGTCTTAATTAGATCTCATTATTAACGTGAATATTCCACAAATTAAAATTGGGACCTCAAAGTTTTAATGAAAAAAGTTACAAGCACAAATTTGAAATTGCCCTCTTTGTAGCCCCCTTCTCCCCAGGTCTCGGTTGACTTGAAGACAGCTGTGCTTGCCAGCTTGTCCATGCCGGCAGGACGAGCCAGGCTGGCCAGAGAGCGCGAAAACCAGATTCTGATCTCATTTACGGTGGCATAAATCCAGTGTAACTCCATTGACTACAACAGAGAGCTTTAGATTTACACTCACCCAACTGATAAAGGAATTCTACTTTTATTCTTTTATATCTATATATAGATATTTATATAGTGATATTTATATATAGATATACCTATATTTATATAATGTTCAATAATCTAACAATAGTACTTTCGTTTAAAAATCACTCCATCGCATATGTCTCGCCATAAACCGTAATGGAGCTTTAAATATATATATATATCTAAGGAATAAAACAAACTGAAAATAATCCATTTTAAACAAATCTTTGGCAGCAACATGGTTAAGCATAACTATTTGAACAACTTGCACAGAAGATTAACATTGTTCAGAGGTTTTTTGGCTCAGAATCTGTTTTAACTTAATAATTCTTGTACTTACTGTGATGTATTGATCCCTAGTGCAATGACTGGATTGGGCAACCCAGGTGCAACAGTAATAGCTGCACAGAATAGAAACATTTCCTTTAGACAAACTATCCCAAAGGGGTTATAAATAGGAAATGGACATTACCATGAAAAGTAAAGCTTCCAATGTGACTGCATCTTGTGTATCACACTTGGACATTAAACTATGAAGAATTTTTTTTTCCTGTCAAGTGTTACAAATTGACGAAATAAGTACATCAATGTTCTCAGTCATTATCTTACTTCAGTGGCACTTTGTTTTAGTGACAGCAAAAAGGGACAGTGGAGACCAGACAGCCCCAGTGCAGTTTATCAATGAAAATCTAATATCGTCCATAAGCAGGGGAGTGGAAATCAATACTTCATTACCAAATTGTTAGTGAGGATGAAGAAGAATAGCGGGAGTTTTTTGGCAGTCTTCTCGGTCCGGGTTGTTGTGAGTTCAATGTCAGGATCGGAGTGACACGCAGGGGCGGGCTGGGCGCAGGAAGTCTGGGCTGGAGAGCTGGAACTAAGGCATTCGTCCTGCAAGCAGAGTAATAATAACAACTATTGTTACCACGTTTCTAATCATGATTCCAGATTTTATTGACTATGTACTTCTATCCATAGAAATTTCTGGAAATGAGTCAGCTTTGCTTTACTTTGTCCACCCATAGGCTCACCAAAAGCAAGGACAACCCCCAGATCCTTATGTCTGTAATGATGCAGGAACTGGAAACTCCAACTGATGCTGCTGTTCTGCCTGGTCCACTGAGTGGGTTACTCTGCATCTCTGCTTTTCCCTCATGTTGTTTAAACCTGGACAATATAATAAGCTTCTTTTGACTACCAGCTGGGAATATACTCTAAAACCCTCATGGTGAGTTGGGCATCTTGGTACCCACATTGCTGTGTTATTTATGGTTGTTTTGGCACCTCCTCAGCATTAAAAGCCACTGTTCTTCCAATAGACCTTTTCCATTCTGCAACAACTAAAAGTGCTAAGTGACTCAAGTTGTGAAATTACTTCTACATGGAGACAGAAGGTGCTTGTTTTATTTAATTTCAAGATGTGGGTTTAAAAGTTCAGCCCGAAGTTGAGTTCTGTTTTGCTTATAACCTGGGAGAAAGATACTGAGAAAAGCAGTAGAAAAAACAACTGGAAAAATAGGGTGAGAAATGAGGCAGGCAATAAGTAGAGTGAAAGTCAATCTGGAGAGAGCACAGAGAAAATAAGACCAGCAGTGGCAAAGAGAAATATGTTACTGAAAAATATATTATCTGTTCAAGGCCACAGCCATTTCAGCAAACACAACTCAAATCCTGTGGTGTGTTCCCTGTGTTCTGGCTAAATCAACTGGAAATTCAGTAGTAGCTTTATTTGAAATAAAATAAACTAAGCTTTTCAAAAAATTCCATATGAAAACAAAAAAGCCCATTGACTTCATGCTATTTAGTTTATAATTTGATTTGTTTTACGATATCTTCACCTTTCCAGTTTTCACAGTGATGCTTAGTTTTGCATTGGCAACCCAAACCTGCTACGGAGAAATTGTTGGAAGGGAAGAAGAGGTTTTGGCAGCTGAATGTAGGGACTTTTGGCAACTGAGGATGCACAGAAATCAGCCTGAAATTGTGGTGAATACCTTAGATTGTTATTACCACTTAAAAGATATTAAAAGCAATCCATGTTGACACTTTAAAATGTTGTCTTTAGGTTTCAGGGGTAACTCTCCAGAGCAATTCACACTTTGCAAAGCTATTATTCTTCACTGCAAAAGACAAAGCTGTGTCAGTTTACACCTTGTTCAAATTTTAAAGAAATCCAGAAGCCTTCTTTACTATTGTAAGGCCTAGAGCTGAAATACAGTAACACCATGAGCTGGCTCTGCTTCTGCAGCCAAGTTCTAAGCTGCAGAATCACCCTCTGCAAAGGGCCCAAGTGCAGGCTGCGGAGATGGCACAGGCATTTCACTTTACATTTCTCAGTGGATTTTTGCAGCCCTCACTAGGATGTAAAGCTATGTAAGTCCTGCCCTGGATTATATCAGACTCTGTAGCAGCTCTGACATGCAGAGCATCTACCTAACTCATGGGTACAGGACACAGATGCTGTGGGCTGGTCCCGCATAGGCCAACGTGAGGGGCAGTGGTGAAACATCTGAGTGCAGGAGCAATCACTCTTGATTAATTCAAGTCTGCCTTTGGAATGCCATTAGGACAATTAAGCAGCATGTAGTATTACTGAAAGTGCTAAATCTGGGAAGGAGTCTTGGTTTGAAGCAAAGTAACCGCAGCGTACTGGTTCCCTGCCAGTGGGAAATATTTATCAAGGGCTTGGATTGGAAAACTGAAAAGCCAAACTCCTGACTCCTTTTCTTTTTGATTCATTGTGAGAAAGGTCCTTAGACTTTTGTATTAGATCAGCTGTAAAATCAGCTTAGTAGTATTCCTGGTTGCTCCCACATCACAAGGGGAGCATGCACAGAGGAGCACTGAGGACACTGTTAACCCTTGGCAGAGCTCTTTAGAGGCATGTCAGTCAGGGTGTAGGTCCACAAGGAATTCTTCTGGCAACAAACCTGCTTCAGAAGCTCTCTCCCTATCATTTCCACCCCACGGTATGATACAATCCTCACTGTGTCCCTGCAACCGCCTGTGGGTCTGCACCACCCCAGCCAAAACCTGGATCCTTCCTGGGGCCACACAAGCACGTCCAGCAGGACTCCCCAGTGCAGGGCTGGGACTGCACAGCTGATGGGGAAGGGTCAAAACCTCTTCAACTGGTTTTGCTGCTGGAGGAAAGATAAGATGGGACAAGACACCTGGGAGCTGGAGGGGATTCTCTGCACTGCTGTGTGTATGCAGGCAGGTTTGGTTTAGCACTGCTATAAAAGCCATTTGTGACAATTGTATAAACTTTTGAGGCTAAGTGTCCATACACTTGACTAATGGTTACATCCATGAATGACTAAAATCAATTGGGACTTGGCACTGATTTCAATGGGATAAGTACATCACCCCTAGGTCTTTTGGCCAACCAAAGTCTCTTCTATCCTTGGTTTGTTTTTTTGTTTTGTTTTGGTTTTTTTTTTTGCATTGATATCACTGCAGGCTGGGACAGGACTTTGGGAAATTAATTAGTGTAAGCCCTGATCAATAAGGGTCATAGTTTATGTATTTCATTATCAAGTCTCTAAGAGATTCAGGGAGTATGTGGAGAGCTTGTCACACGCACTCTAGGGCATAGCAGCTTGGATGTTCAAACAGCATTTGATGGGCAAAGTTGGTTGCTTCCTCGGCTTTTAAAAAAATATAGTTCAACCTGTACCATAAAGAAAAATCTATCATCTAAGTTATGTTATGAAAATGCAGCTGAAGGTGTTCATTATGATGATGTCTTGCACAGCAGATGTGAAATATCAGTTGTAGATACTGCAGCTTTGCTTTTATTTAACATTAATTATCAAGCCATCAACAGATGTAAAAAGTTGTATCTATTTTATTGCAGACGTGTCAGGACTCAGGATTCCTTCTAGCGATCACCTTCCCACTCCTTGTCCATGGCACAGCTCCCCTCGCCTCATTCAAATCTTGCTGTAAAAATGCAGCTGTGAAGCCTTTGAAATAGGAACTCTCAAACATGTCTGCAATCTGAGACAACTGCAGACTGTATGTCAACAGCTAATTGCACGTGTGTCCGGCCTCCGCAGGCTGGCACCCGCACTGCTCAGCTGTGCTCCTGAGCCCCCGCATGGCTCCTGGCTCACGGGAGCACCGATGAGCTCGCTCTTGCTTTCACAAACACGTGCACGCACATGCCAAATCCCACGCTTTTGTTTACTCTCTCTAGTCTCCTTTCCCTCTTTTCTCTGTGGCCAAAAGCCACTCTAACCGAACGCCGCAGCGTCCTGGGGGGTAGGACACGGGCTGTCCATGCATGGGGTGGTTTTCAAGTCCTTCACTTGGGGATTGCTGTAACTGTTTGCTTTTTGGGTTGTGCAGAACACCAACCACCTCAGTGGCACAGTCCAAGGTGTGATGGTACTCTAGAGCCAGGCAGATGACAGCAGGTTCATGTGTTCATAATTTTCTTTTGTATTTCCAGATCTTTGCTAATATAATTTTATAATCTTCTATTAGTGTAACGGGATAATAAAAATGACAATATATATCTGTGATCCACCCACCAAAGTCCATGGACTATATCTATGGATCAAACCTTTGGACTCCAAACTATGGAGTCTATGGATCAAACCTTTCCATGCTGCAGCTGTACCTATAGTAATAAATTGCAGGACTCTTACAGGGCCAAATAGGAAGATACAGACAGTCCCTTTGTGGTTACCAAATATGTTATCTCTAGACGTAATTTTTGACCTGCTTTTGCTAGATTATTACAGCAGCAGAAAATCTGTTCCTTAAAGAATCATGCTCATGTGTATAATACCTAGATAGGGAGAAAAAGCAAATCTGGATATATTTTTATTTCATTTAGGACTCCTCTCACCATGAATTACAATATTACAGACTCTAAATGCCTTCTCGTTACCCATAATTATAACTAAAATTATATCAATCTAAACAGTAACTACTCAAATGATTCATCCTGATTGTAAGGAGCATGCTCTCTTAAGTTATGCCTGCCCATCCATTTTAAAGCCTTGCAACAGGAATAGCTTTCCAGAAGGTCATTTAACAGCACATTAAATAAATAAATAGAGCATATTTGTTTCAGAAAACACACTCTAGTAGGGTGGGAAAGCATTTTGGGAGAGGTACGAATAACCCTTGTGAAAACTGATACTTTCAGCTTTTCTTCATTCTTGCTGAGGGTGCAGCACCCACCCAAACACATGCAGAGATGCCATATGATGCCAGGAGGAAAAGATTTTTAATGCTCCCTTACTGAAGGTGTGCCCAGAAGCTGCTCTGTGCACTGCACAGAAGTCACAGCCAGCTGCTGCCCAGCAGCGGAGCGTGGGGAGATGATGACACACCAGCAAAACCCACCGTGGGCCCCAGCAGGTCCCTGAGCCCCTCCTGATCCTGTAGAAGGCACCAGACTTCATGTATTCAGTCCGTGCTGTCAGCCACGTGGAGAGGGGAGTGTGGAAAAAGGTCTTCTTTATTGTAAAAGTAAAACATATTTCTGTCCTGTGATCTAAGCTTATGAGAATGTGGGACAAGATAATGGAAAATAAATATGGGCTCTAGCTCAGATGTTCCTGGGGTGTGTCTGCTTAAACACAAAATTGTCTGACTGCGGTAACACCCAGGTGGAGGAATTTAGAGACCTCATTGCCTGGGATGATGGAAACTACATTTAATAAAAACTTGAAGTCATTAAATTGCATTTATCTCAGAAAACTATTTGTTGAAGATACTTTGTTAAGAGGCTAAGGCCAAGGCCAGATAAAAGACCTCTGGATTTCAGCAGTAAGATCATGGGAGCGCATATCTGCACCTTCTCTGTAGGAGGTCAGTGAAGTTATGCTGATTTACCTCAGCTGGCCTGGCCCAACAGTTTTGCAATATAAAAG